CACACACACACACACACATACACACACACACACACACACACACACACACACACACATACACACATGCATGCGCAACACACACACACACACACATACACACGCATATCCACATACACACACATACACATGAGTGTGTTTACGTGTGTGTATATGTATATTTATATATATACATATATACATATATATATATATATATATATATATATATATATATATATATATATATGTACATATATATATATATATATATATATATATATATATATATATATATATATATATATATATACATATATATATATGTACATATATATATATATATATATATATATATATATATATATATATATACATACATATATATATATATATATATATATATATATATATATATATATATATATATATATACATATATACATATATATACATATATATATATATATATATATATATATATATATATATATATATATATATATATACATATACATATGTATGTAAATAAATAAATATATATACATATATATTCACACACACACACACACACACACACACACACACACACACACACACACACACACATATATATATATATATATATATATATATAAGTATATATATATACATATATATATATATATATATATATATATATATATATATATATATATATATATGAGAGAGGAGAGAGAGAGAGAGAGAGAGAGAGAGAGAGAGAGAGAGAGAGAGAGAGAGAGAGAGAGAGAGAGAGAGAGAGAGAGAGAGAGAGAGAGAGAGAGAGAGAGAGAGAGAGAGAGAGAGAGAGAGAACACTGTAGAGAAACCTATCTAAATTCCATCTATAAGCGTAATCATTATCACTATACTTATTTGATGCCTTGGCTCAATGAAAACAAAACTCACCGAGGATCAAACAATTGCTAGGCTGTTTTTGAATATCAATGAATTAACTTCCGTGACCAAAAACAAAACAAAACAAAACAATTAAATGTAATATTTACAAGGAAAACAACAGATAACCACACACAACATCAAAACAAAACTGAAGAATTAAATACACAAAAACGAAAAAAAAAACTTCAGATGCCCTCTCATTAAAAACAACCGAACTACCACAATAACCACCGAACCGGACCAGCACCAAGGAAAAAAAAAACTTGGTCGTGGGCCACCGAGGAGCACTATCTTCAGTGCCGGTCGTGGGAGAGGCCGGGGAAGATGGAGTTCTGTCAGATCTTGTTACTTCTCTTCCCGGCTTTGGTAAGTTATAGGGAAAAAAAGAGAGACTCGGGAAGGATATTTATGATGCAATGGTGATAACAGCGAGTTTCGAAAGTGGTTGTGGATAACAACGTTTAATAGGGTTGTGTGTATTTCGTGGGGGTCAGCAGAGAAGGGTTATAATTGCACTAGTTTGTAGGTCTGTGATACCTTTCTAGCGAAAGGTATTCGTGAACGAGAGCAATGCACCCTCCAGAGACGAAAGTCGCAAAACCAGGCTATCATGCAAACCCAGAACTCCGCACCAAACCTTTCCCACCTTATATTTATTCCCTACATAGGGGACAACCCCTCCCCCCGCCAAATTACAGAAAATGCGACAATGAGAAGCTGTGTGAAGGTGTTGTAGACTCTGTAAGCGGTGATATGCAGATCTTTTCATTTCGCGGTAAATATGAGGCTACAGCCGTACATGTTTATTAATCTTTCGGACGATATGTAGTATAAAGTAGTGGCAGTTGGGCAATAAAACCTACATGGAATGATAGAACAATACAAACCAAGACAGTTCTTCTATGGCAATGTGTGTGCAAATGCTTCCTAAGGGTGCTATACGTAAAAGAAAAGGGAAGATGGGTTACTTTCGAAACAAATTTGATATTTTCCTGCATGAAATACGGTTTTCAACGATTCTAGGCATTGTTCCATGTGCAAATGGGCGTCCTAACCCAACATCCAACCTAACCTTACACCGTGGTATATATTCCCTAGCCAGGGGGCTCTGGGGCTCTGCCCCCTGGACCCCCGGGGTAATATATATACCTAGCACCCTTGGGAAGCATTTGCACATATTGTATAGAAGAACTTTGTCTTGGTTTGTATTGTTCTATCATTTCATGTAGGTTTTATTGCCCAACTCTGCCACAACCTTATACTACATATTGTCCAGATTGTCGATGGAGATGATCATATCTCCTCAACCATTCATTTGTACAAGGAACAATGCCTAGAATCGTTGAAAGCAGTGGATTTCAAGCAGAAAAATATCAAAATTGTTTCGAAAGTAACCCACTACCCTCTTCTATATAATTGACCGGGGGGGGGGGATCTTCTCCTTTTATGCATAGCAGCCTTGGAAAGCATTTGCACACACATTGCCATAGAAGAAATTTTTCTCGGTTTGTATTCTATCATTTCATGTAGGTTTTATTACCCAACTCTGCCACCACCTTATACTACATATTGACCTGAAAAGGTAATATTAGAACTCAAACTAAGTAAAATAACTATGATCACTGATCGATATGAAAACCCTGTCAGTCGTGTGATTAAACCCTTGGAGGGGGCGGGGCCTCTTCTGTATATCCAGACTGAATGGACTTAAAAGTAGAATTAGCTTTTGTGTTTGAAAGATTTATTTCTGGATAGTAAGATTTAAAAGGGGCATTAGTTTTTCAAGGAGTTGCCTATAGTAAAGATAGTAGTAGATCCTCTGAAATCAGCATACATGTCTGTACTAGATATACATTCATAATTTTACCTTTTTTCTCATAAATGATGGCGTATACATGACCTCGCGGTTTTATGTTTCAACATGATCCAAGATTAGGTTTGAGATTATGGCATCTGTCGTATATATCCAGTTGATTTCCTCTGATGGAAAGAAAGGATATGGGAGAGGGGGGAGGGGGATTTTGTGCATATAATGACAAAGTTGTAGTTGTCAAAATCATAGCCGAAGTTTCTTTTCGTCTCTCCTCAGGCCTGGGCCCAGAATCTATACGAACGACCCTCTGGTAAGCTTAAGTCTGTAGTGTTTGCAGAACACCTTTGTGTTGTCAAGATATAAGTGGTAAAATTTAATAATCTAATAAAGTTTAATCAACATTACAATCGCACTAAAGCTTAGAGAAAATAACAAATGATAAATCGATAATTATGTATTATCATTTGGTGACATGAAACTATTATCTCTCAGGGTACCAGTCCGGCACGTATAGCGGCTTCCCAGGGGGCAACCGGTTCCGACGCCCTCCTTCAGGATACAGACCAGTGTACACGGACCCTTTCCCCGGCGCGCAGTACAATAACGACTGCGGGAACCAACTGCTGACATGCGTGGAGACGGAAGACTGCAGCAAAAAGGTGGACGCGAAAGGTAAGAAGGATTTTTAGGATTGTTCCGTGGAGGTTTTTGGGGGGAGGCGGGGGGGGGGAGGTTGTAGGGGGGGGGAAAATGGAAGGTCTTTCTTGGTGGTTCCATCGTGAGGCTGATGAGAGAGATTCCTCTTGAGCTTTTTAGTTGATTGACACGGTGATATACAGCTATGGATGAGGACGAACAACGGGTAATAGACACGTTCCGGTGTTTCTATTCGGTGGGATTCTCTGGCCAAACATTGTTACAAATCTTATATAAAAAGTATTGAGGAATCATTTGTAGATTTTTTTTTGAGCAACTGCATGCCGTGACTTTCGATTGATTGAAGCTAGTGAGGTGAATATGCTCTGTCGGAATGTGCGCAGTTTATTTTACTCATTTTCACATATTAATGCTGAAGAAACACCTGTTTACATCGGAAGCGTGTAGAGAGAAGCCCTGAAAATTTCCAGCCCTCTTCTCCGCACGTACAGAATGTGTGAAACATCATGATAGCGTCATCTATCGATGAAGAACGTCACATGCCTCTTTTAAGTGATCCTAGGTCGGAGTGGGTTCAGTTAGAAAAAGGACTAGACATCCACGTAAATAGTATTTAAAAAAAAAAAAAATCCTAAATACAAATGGCCTCAAATGGCTGGAGGTAGGAACGCAGAAATGATATTTAAAAGCTGAGGACTCCTGTCATATGGTATAGCGTTCTTTCATTTGTATACACAATGCCAGAGGTCGTGCAACGTAGTAAACCCAAGTATTTGCATATGTTTTGCAATATTCAGTATTCGAAGATGGCTAATCTCATCCTTTTATGTCCAAAAGCTTTCAATAATCATTCACATAAAGGTAGGAATGGAAGGAACACCTACTAAGTATACAAAGATTAATAACTTTCTCCCCCCCCCATTAAAACAGGAATTCAAGCAAATCGGCAAGATGAAGAACGACAAAGAGACGTTTTTCTTCGGCGATAAAGAATACTGGCTGGACGCTTACTACGACGACAAGAGCGAGACCTGGATCAGAAGGACCACTCGGGAACCCATTATTTGGGAACAGTGAGTCGAAGGGGGGGGGGGGATTTGTATGGGTGTAAGATGGAGTTTGTGGGTAGGGGGGGGGTTGTAAGAGGGTGTTGTGTGTAGGGGGTTATTACTCAAAGGACTTTCATTTACGTCAGTTTATCCATTTTGCAGAGAATAAATGCATTTAATGGACTGGATAAGCAGTTCGTTTTTGTTTAGGTATCTTTCATATTGTGTAAATTGCTACAGAAAAAAAAAAAAAAAAAAAAAAATCCTAAATACAAATGGCCTCTAATGGCTGGAGGTAGGAACGCAGAAATGATATTTAAAAGCTGAGGACTCCTGTCATGGTCTATAGCGTTCTTTCATTTGTATACACAGTGCCAGAGGTCGTGCAGCGTAGTAAACCCAAGCATTTGCATATGTTTTGCAATATTCAGTATTCGAAGATGGCTAATCTCATCATTTTATGTCCAAAAGCTTTCAATAATCATTCACAAGAATCAACAGATGGACTGCGTAGGAATGGAAGGAACACCTACTATGTATACAAAGATTAATAACTTTCTCCCCCCCCCCATTAAAACAGGAATTCAAGCAAATCGGCAAGATGAAGAACGACAAAGAGACGTTTTTCTTCGGCGATAAAGAATACTGGCTGGACGCTTACTACGACGACAAGAGCGAGACCTGGATCAGAAGGACCACTCGGGAACCCATTATTTGGGAACAGTGAGTCAGAGGGGGGGGGGGGGATTTGTATGGGTGTAAGATGGAGTTTGTGGGTAAGGAGGGGGGGGGGTTGTAAGAGGGTGTTGTGTGTAGGGGGTTATTACTCAAAGGACTTTCATTTACGTCAGTTTATCCATTTTGCAGAGAATAAATGCATTTAATGGACTGGATAAGCAGTTCGTTTTTGTTTAGGTATCTTTCATATTGTGTAAATTGCTACAGGAAAAAAAGACAAACGTAGATATAGATGGATATAGATATAAACAAGTGGATGAAAATGTACAATTTTATTTGGTGGCGTAACACTCGTCAGGACAGAAGAATTGTCCGAATCCCTACCATATTTCTTCCCCGCCAAAATGTTTCTAAAGCTTCTGTTATTTCTGAAACCTAATCCTTACTTCCTCTTCTGTAGGATCTTCCCGCAACTTGACCTGATCCCGGGCATGACGATCAACCTCGAAGTCGTCCGGGAGATTGACACGAAGCAGCGCTGTCTGACGGTCAAGTTCAACGACAAACACCCAGAGCTCTTGGAGGTTGCGAAGGCCAAGTGTAGCGACAAGAAGCAGATTGCATGCAAGCTAGGTACGGGGTGGAGGGGGGGGAGGGGTGACTGAAACCTGTAATAGGCTTCTCACTCTCTCTCGAAGTGCCTATGTACTTTTTTACGGAAATGAATGGTGTAGCTGCGACCATCAGTTTGTACTATTTCAACTCTGGTGGGGTGGGGGGGGGGTGCAGAAATCTTGTCTCGCAAAACTTGGAGGCTTTTGCGGGGGGGCGGGGGGGGGGGGGTACAGATCAGAATGTTGAACTGGCATTGCGAGGAATAAGTAAGCTTATTAAATGTACAGTAATCTTTTAAGGTATTCTCTCAAGCAGCATCAAGAGTTATTACGTATATTTATGTGCCTTTTTTTTTTTTTTTTTTACGCCTCCAGGATTTTATACAAACAAATGCCGGGACAACAAAAAGAATGTGTGCTGCTTCTCTCCCACTTCAGACTTCTTCCTGAAGAACACTTACGCAGGTGATCAGGTGTTATATTTATAATGGATGGTTGATTAAATTTCTTTAATAGCATACAGTCTGTTTCAATCGTTCATCAAACGGATCGATTTGCACTTTTTGCTTTTCAAGGGATTAGAGAAATTGCAATAAGTTGTGTATGAATTAAATTGGAATTAATTTTTCTTTTTGAAATGCAACTTGCAGGTCCCGGCAGCACCCTTGGAGAGGCAGATGCAAATTGTTTCCTGGAGATTATCAAAGGGGCGACGACTGTCGTAGAGCCGTGTGATAAAGGTTTGATTTTCTGTTATTCTGTTTAGTCCATCATATAAATCTTGGTCTGATTTATTCTATCTACCATTTTCAATCATTTAAACCTCATTGCAATGACCGTAGCTGTTGAGGCAGGCAGATTATTTTAAATATTCAAATATCTTCTCTCCTTATGTGGTGACACGTAAGAAATATAAAGTTTATTACACAACCCACGTATATATATTCAATTATAATGATATTTATTACTATTATGTATTTTTCTTTTTTACTTTGCTTACACACACCTCGTTTGTAACTTGAATGACGCACCACTCCTGACTTCAAATTCCGTCCAGTGCTGGCCACTCTAGAGCCGACCGCCGACGCCAACACGAAGCTGAAGATTCCCTTCCGCATCGGTTCGTCCTTCTTCTACGTCGACGACAAGCCGTGCATCGGGAAGGGCGATCGCAAGGCCGTCATCTCCGACAGGAAGGTCAACGACTTCATCTCTCGCTACCTGGTCATGGCCAACCTCATGAAGGCCGGGACGTACGACTCGTTTCTCTTCGGCCTTCAATACAAGGGCCACATCCACAAGCTCATCTGGCAGAATGGTGGGTTTTTGATGCTTTTGAGGACGATAACGCTGGGATATTTTTCCTCGGATTTGTTGAAGACTTGAAAGGATTGGGGGGAGTGCATAGGTTTCTCTTAAAATTTCTTTCGAAGGCTTGTAGGCTTCTTAACACTTTGAATGCAGGAATGTCAATATCATGAGCAGCATTGGCAATTTTTTTCATTTTCATTTTTTTCTTTTTTAAACTTTCAGTTGATTTGCGATACCTTCATGATATAAATAGCACTTGTACGTATCTCGGAATATTGAAATCACTCCCGGGGTTGTTAACGTTCATTCCGATTCGCTTACTGCAATTCTCTTCTCAGTATTTGTTAAGCAAAGTATGCGATTTTTCCTTTATCAATTATCTTTTCCTCTCCCACTCCCCCCCAAATCCACAGGTCGGCCCTACGACTACTACAACGAGACCTTCTGGAACGGCTACGAGCCCAACTTCGATAATTTCGGCGACAGCGACAAACCCGTGTGCGGCCACTACGTCGTCTCGCCGATCGAGTACGAGTATAAGTGGGAACTCACGGACGTCTGCGCACCGTCAGCGAAGGAGCCCGCCGTCTGTGAGCTGCCCATGTGAGGAGAGGGAGATTTGTTTATTTTCTTTCCCTGTACTTCGTTTATTTTTATCTATCCTGGTTTCTGTGGTGTTTTATTCACCAAGTCTCCTTTTTTTCTCTATTGCATTCCCTCACTGCCTTTTTTTAAAAACATGTTTCTCCACACATTTTCATACGTTTTTCCATCCCTTCTTTCCGTCCTTTATCATCCCCATTCCCTCTTAACCTTTCCTTCGACCCTTCCTTCGTCCGTCCCTCCATCCATCTGTCTCCTTCCAGCCGTTTCACTGACCTCATGCCGACGACGAAGAAGGTGGCGTGCGGGATGCGTCACCGACGGGGCGTCCTGGCGCGTTCGGCCTACGCCTCCGGCCACGAACTGCAGGCGCTCTACGGAGAATTCCCCTGGCAGGTGAGGCAAGGTTTATTTCAATTATATAGGTGCTTAAAATCTCTCTTGGTACTTTGCAGCTTGTTGCATTTATCTTTTGGATTTTTTGTTTATGCTTATCATTGCTATTCTTCGTCTTGGGTATTGAGTGCTTTTTTTTTTACAAGTCTTGTGTTGGACAGTTTAGAGTCTTCAGCCATCGTCGGTAATGTTGAAGTTCATTCTGATAAGGCCTCGTTGATTTATTGCAGTTTTCGTCTCCATCTTTGATCGCAAGGTGTTGGAATTTTTCCCTCTGAGAAACATCTTTCCCCACCCCTCGTGACTGGCGTGTAAACTCTTCACATTTCAAATGACCCAGGCTTTTTTTTTTAACCCTACATGGACCTAATGAACCTAATAAGAACCTAATACTTTTATTCTCAGGCGGCCATCTATAAGGTTCGAAATCTTGGTGGTTTGCAAAGTACCTTCGTCTGTTCTGGCGTCCTCATCGACAAGTCCTTCGTCATAACGGCCGCGCACTGCGTCGTAGGACCTTCCAAGGACTTCACGGTGAGCTCAGGGCGTGGGTCAAGAATTTTCAGGAAGTTAAATTATCAGAGATTCAGATGTTTGATAAATACTTATTGCTTACCCACTGCGCTTGTCTTTTTAGGTTTGTCAGTAACATTTTTTTTTACTTAACGAATACTCTTCCACTTCCTCAGGTGGTGCTTGGGGAGTACACAGTCGGGGGCGGAACCAGCATTTTGGAGACACAGGTGACGGGCGTGAGCGACATCCTCGTCTATCCAGGTAAAAGATGCGTTCTAAATTCATCTTCACTTCCCCCCACCCCCCACTTTTCTCTTCATTCTCTGTACAAGGTTTCAGGTAGAGTTCAGTGTCAGTTTCAAAAAATACTTTTTATATAAGCCATATTTAGTTTCAAATATCTTCAAATATCTACCTGTATTTTTTTTTTTTTTTTTTTTTTTTTTTAACCCTACATGGACCTAATGAACCTAATAAGAACCTAATACTTTTATTCTCAGGCGGCCATCTATAAGGTTCGAAATCTTGGTGGTTTGCAAAGTACCTTCGTCTGTTCTGGCGTCCTCATCGACAAGTCCTTCGTCATAACGGCCGCGCACTGCGTCGTAGGACCTTCCAAGGACTTCACGGTGAGCTCAGGGCGTGGGTCAAGAATTTTCAGGAAGTTAAATTATCAGAGATTCAGATGTTTGATAAATACTTATTGCTTACCCACTGCGCTTGTCTTTTTAGGTTTGTCAGTAACATTTTTTTTTACTTAACGAATACTCTTCCACTTCCTCAGGTGGTGCTTGGGGAGTACACAGTCGGGGGCGGAACCAGCATTTTGGAGACACAGGTGACGGGCGTGAGCGACATCCTCGTCTATCCAGGTAAAAGATGCGTTCTAAATTCATCTTCACTTCCCCCCACCCCCCACTTTTCTCTTCATTCTCTGTACAAGGTTTCAGGTAGAGTTCAGTGTCAGTTTCAAAAAACACTTTTTATATAAGCCATATTAAGTTTCAAATATCTTCAAATATCTACCTGTATTTTTTTTTTTTTTTAACCCTACATGGACCTAATGAACCTAATAAGAACCTAATACTTTTATTCTCAGGCGGCCATCTATAAGGTTCGAAATCTTGGTGGTTTGCAAAGTACCTTCGTCTGTTCTGGCGTCCTCATCGACAAGTCCTTCGTCATAACGGCCGCGCACTGCGTCGTAGGACCTTCCAAGGACTTCACGGTGAGCTCAGGGCGTGGGTCAAGAATTTTCAGGAAGTTAAATTATCAGAGATTCAGATGTTTGATAAATACTTATTGCTTACCCACTGCGCTTGTCTTTTTAGGTTTGTCAGTAACATTTTTTTTTACTTAACGAATACTCTTCCACTTCCTCAGGTGGTGCTTGGGGAGTACACAGTCGGGGGCGGAACCAGCATTTTGGAGACACAGGTGACGGGCGTGAGCGACATCCTCGTCTATCCAGGTAAAAGATGCGTTCTAAATTCATCTTCACTTCCCCCCACCCCCCCACTTTTCTCTTCATTCTCTGTACTAGGTTTTAGGTAGTTCAGTGTCAGTTTCAAAAAACACTTTTTATATAAGCCATATTAAGTTTCAAATATCTTCAAATATCTACTTGTATTTTTTTTTTTTTTTTAACCCTACATGGACCTAATGAACCTAATAAGAACCTAATACTTTTATTCTCAGGCGGCCATCTATAAGGTTCGAAATCTTGGTGGTTTGCAAAGTACCTTCGTCTGTTCTGGCGTCCTCATCGACAAGTCCTTCGTCATAACGGCCGCGCACTGCGTCGTAGGACCCTCCAAGGACTTCACGGTGAGCTCAGGGCGTGGGTCAAGAATTTTCAGGAAGTTAAATTATCAGAGATTCAGATGTTTGATAAATACTTATTGTTTACCCACTGCGCTTGTCTTTTTAGGTTTGTCAGTAACATTTTTTTTTACTTAACGAATACTCTTCCACTTCCTCAGGTGGTGCTTGGGGAGTACACAGTCGGGGGCGGAACCAGCATTTTGGAGACACAGGTGACGGGCGTGAGCGACATCCTCGTCTATCCAGGTAAAAGATGCGTTCTAAATTCATCTTCACTTCCCCCCACCCCCCCACTTTTCTCTTCATTCTCTGTACTAGGTTTTAGGTAGTTCAGTGTCAGTTTCAAAAAATACTTTTTATATAAGCCATATTTAGTTTCAAATATCTTCAAATATCTACCTGTATTTTTTTTTTTTACTTTCACTTTTTTTCTAAAGGTTACGAGCCGACAAACCCGCTGGTCCACGACATCGCTCTGGTACAGCTGGACCGAGCCATCGCCCTCGACAACTACCCTCAGATCGGCTTGGCTTGCCTGCCTTATCCGGACATCCTGTACCGGAACACGGGGGCTTGGGACTGCTTCACCGTTGGCTGGAATGGCAAAGCCGGGGTAAGTTACGGGTTTGACTACATATTAAAAGTTTAATTTGTTTATCAAATTGAAACGTATTAGGGAGTTAGACTATGGGTCTCTGTAACAAAATGGCGGTGTTTTACTATCAATACCAGACAATTTCTTTAGGTCTTGTTGAAACGAATGAAATAAACTGTTGAAAAGCGCTACTTGAAATGGGATGAAGGGACCCAGCCGTGCTTATGGTTAATAATCAGACTGTTATGTGATATAAAACGCTTAATGTAATTCCAAACTATACCAAATGTCTAAATACACTTCCAAGTGGCCTCGAAACACCTAAGGAATGAGTTAATTGTGGCGGCAAAGGCGATTCTAGACCTAGGTTACAACATCCAAAGAAGCATAAAGTGCTTGATAGACAGCCCGTATACTGTATATAAAGATAGGAAACTACTTTTAAGCTACTAAGAATAGCACACGCCATACAATCCATATTCATAACGGATTGCAAAACGATGCATTATTAGGTTAGATGTATTGAGAAATTAAAACCAATAACATGAATATTACAAAATCGCATTAATATTAAGGTTGAATCACATTTTTTTTACGTGCATCTTCCCGCCGCGCATAAGCTAATCCATCGGTACGTTTCAGGCCCTCCAACGCGTAGAATCGAGCATTTTGTCGAAGCGTGATTGTCGTATCTACACGCGCGCCTACCACGAGTACCACGACTACATGAGGAAGACTCCCTACGGCTACGGAACTTCAGGCTACGACAAGGTGCACGGCTACCACTATGCGACGTATCAGAAACACCACTACTTCAGGTCAGGCTCTTAAGAGAGGGTGCATTGGCAAGGGAGTCCGTGGCTTGCTGGGTTTGGTAACGGCGTCAGAGTATCTTGTTGGGGAAAATTCAATGACTAATCCAGAGCTCTTGTTGACTGAGAATCCTAAAAAAAGAAGTCAGGTGGGGGGGGGGAGCAAGATTTTATAAATGCGATTCTGGTTTAATTCGTTTTCTGCTTAATTCAAGACCGTTTTCCACCTTTTTTTTTTCAGTGGAGGCACTCCTGACCTCCTTTGCACCGAGTCTTTTGAAACCAAGGCTTGTGTGGTAAGTTTGATTTAGTTTGTTCAAAGAAAGCTTGAATATGTAAGGACACCTGAATGTATAGATCTTCAAAGTTTTCTAATAGATTTTGGTATATTTATAGTCTCATGCTTTCTGATTTTTTAAGTGAAAACCGCACAGGGGGGAAGTTAATCCCCTTTGAAAACCTTTCAGTAAGGTAGTAAGGTTTTTTGGGATATCGGTTGTGATCAGTTTATAGTAAATATGATTCATTTATATAGGATTATATTCTATAGGATTTTATCATTTTATAAGAAAAGGGATTCCATTATTTTGCTTACCGCCATAAGTACTTCCGGCTATGCATTTTCCCTTCAGAACGACCCCGCGGCCGTGCTGGTGTGCCGCCACGCCGCTCTCCACGCCGACACCTTCTTCGGCTTCGGCAACCGCGGCTACCGCTACCACGCCCACCGCGGCCACAAGAGGACGAACGCGCGCATCGTCAACGCGTACGGCCGCTACAGGTTCGACAGCGAGAAGTGGTACGTCATGGGCCTCTCCCACAGCCTCTCGCCTTGTTCCGGTCAAGGACAAGTGAACTACAGAAAGGGATACGGTTCTCAGAGGAAGGACATTAGCGTGTTCACTCCCGTGCACGAGTATCTTCCCTTCCTGCACGCGTATCTGGATGCCAAGATTACGTCTGAGCAAAAGACAACGTAGGAGGCGCGGGGAAAACACGCGGCTGTTTCCCATTCTTGATTGTAATACAAACGAAACCTTAGTTTTTTTTTTATAACTTTCCCAATATTCACAAACTGTATTGATGGATTTACCAATAAACCATCTGTATTAGTTATTACTGGATTTCCACTTTGCAGCCTTCCTAATACATGAATAAAAAAGATATAACGTTTCAAGGTTCATGCTTTGTTTACCCATCCTGAACTGGAAACGAAAGATGCAGCGATTTCCTCAGAATTAAAATCTATTTGAAACTCGCTTGACAATAATGATCCATATTTTGCAACCAGCTAATTTTGAGTGCACGTAACCGATGTCAAGTGGTTTATGATAATGTAAAGTAAAAACCGCGTCATTGGTGTAATCCTTAGTAAAAAAAACAAACAACCTATATGTGGAGTACTTTAAATCGTCACTGCATTTCTTTTATAACTGCATAAATACATGCACTTAGAAGAATGCCGCACACATGCACTTAGAAGAATGCCGCACACATGCACTTAGAAGAATGCCGCACACATGCACTTAGAAGAATGCCGCACACATGCACTTAGAAGAATGCCGCACACATGCACTTAGAAGAATGCCGCACACATGCACTTAGAAGAATGCCGCACACATGCACTTAGAAGAATGCCGCACACATGCACTTAGAAGAATGCCGCACACATGCACTTAGAAGAATGCCGCACACACGCACTTAGAAGAATGCCGCCACACGCACTTAGAAGATGCCGCACACACGCACTTCGAAGAATGCCGCACAATGCACTTAGAAGAATGCCGCCACACACGCACTTAGAAGAATGCCGCACACAGCACTTAGAAGAATGCGCACACACGCACTTAGAAGAATGCCGCACACACGCACTAGAAGAATGCCGCACACACGCACTTAGAAAATGCCGCACACACGCACTTAGAGAATGCCGCACACACGCACTTAGAAGAATGCCGCACACACGCACTTAGAAGAATGCCGCACACACGCACTTAGAAGAATGCCGCACACACGCACTTAGAAGAATGCCGCACACACGCACTTAGAAGAATGCCGCACACACGCACTTAGAAGAATGCCGCACACACGCACTTAGAGAATGCCGCACACAACGCACTTAGAAGAATGCGCACACACGCACTTAGAAGAATTGCCGCACACACGCACTTAGAAGAATGCCGCACACACGCACTAGAAGAATGCCGCACACACGCACTTAGAGAATGCCGCACACACGCACTTAGAAGAATGCCGCACACATGCCACTTAGAAGAATGCCGCACAATGCACTTAGAAGAATGCCGCACACACGCATTAGAAGAATGCCGCACAATGCACTTAGAAGAATGCCGCACACATGCACTTAGAGAATGCCGCACACACGCACTAGAAGAATGCCGCACACATGCACTTAGAAAATGCCGCACACACGCACTTAGAAGAATGCCGCACAATGCACTTAGAAGAATGCCGCACACATGCCACTTAGAAGAATGCCGCACAATGCACTTAGAAGAATGCGCACACATGCACTTAGAAAATGCCGCACACATGCACTTAGAAAATGCCGCACACACGCACTTAGAAGAATGCCGCACACATGCACTTAGAAAATGCCGCACACACGCACTTAGAAGAATGCCGCACACATGCACTTAGAAAATGCCGCACACATGCACTTAGAAAATGCCGCACACACGCACTTAGAAGAATGCCGCACAATGCACTTAGAAGAATGCCGCACACATGCACTTAGAAGATGCCGCACACACGCACTAGAAGAATGCCGCACACACGCACTAGAAGAATGCCGCACACATTGCACTTAGAAGAATGCCGCACACACGCACTTAGAAGAATGCCGCACACACGCACTTAGAGAATGCCGCACACATGCACTTAGAAGATGCCGCACACATGCCTTAGAAGAATGCCGCACACATTGCACTTAGAAGAATGCCGCACACATTGCACTTAGAAGAATGCGCACACACGCACTTAGAAGAATGCCGCACACATGCCTTAGAAGAATGCCGCACACACGCACTTAGAAGAATGCCGCACACATGCCTTAGAAGAATGCCGCACACATTGCACTTAGAAGAATGGCCGCACACATGCACTTAGAAGAATGCCGCACAATGCACTTAGAAGAATGCCGCACACATTGCACTTAGAAGAATGGCCGCACACATGCACTTAGAAGAATGCCGCACACATGCACTTAGAAAATGCCGCACACACGCACTTCGAAGAATGCCGCACACACGCACTTCGAAGAATGCCGCACACACGCACTTCGAAGAATGCCGCACACATTGCACTTAGAAGAATGCGCACACATGCACTTAGAAGAATGCGCACACATGCACTTAGAAGAATGGCCGCACACATGCACTAGAAGAATGCCGCACAATGCACTTAGAAGAAGCCGCACACATGCACTTAGAAGGAATGCCGCACACATTGCACTTAGAAGAATGCCGCACACAGCACTTAGAAGAATGGCCGCACACATGCACTTAGAAAATGCCGCACACACGCACTTAGAAGAATGCCGCACACATTGCACTTAGAAGAATGCGCACACACGCACTTAGAAGAATGCCGCACACACGCACTTAGAAGAATGCCGCACACACGCACTTAGAAGAATGCCGCACACACGCACTTAGAAGAATGCCGCACACACGCACTTAGAAGAATGCGCACACATGCACTTAGAAGAATGCCGCACACACGCACTTAGAAGAATGCGCACACACGCACTTAGAAGAATGCCGCACAATGCACTTAGAAGAATGCCGCACAATGCACTTAGAAGAATGCCGCACACACGCACTTAGAAGAATGGCCGCACACATGCACTTAGAAGATGCCGCACACATGCACTTAGAAGAATGCCGCACACATTGCACTTAGAAGAATGCCGCACAATGCACTTAGAAGAATGCGCACACACGCACTTAGAAGAATGCCGCACACATGCACTTAGAAGATGCCGCACACACGCACTTCGAAGAATGCCGCACACAGCACTTAGAAGAATGCCGCACACACGCACTTAGAAGAAGCCGCACACATGCACTTAGAAAATGCCGCACACACGCACTTCGAAGAATGCCGCACAATGCACTTAGAAGAATGCCGCACACAGCACTTAGAAGAATGGCCGCACACATGCACTTAGAAGAATGCCGCACACACGCACTTAGAAGGAATGCCGCACACACGCACTTAGATAGAAATGCCGCCACACACGCACTTAGAAGAATGCCGCACACACGACACTTAGAAGAATGCCGCACACACGCACTTAGAAGAATGCCGCACACACGCACTTAGAAGAATGCCGCACACACGCACTTAGAAGAATGCCGCACATGGTACACGGAAATCTCATTAAAAAGCTGAATTAGAGTGATGGGGGCGGGGAGAATGCACTGAGAATTTACCAGTAAGAACGACGGAAACCAAACCAATTTAGAAAAAAAAGTTGGAGGCAAAGTAAGCTAATTAAATACATAGAAATAGAGCAAACTACATAAAATTTAAAAAATGCACAATTTTAACTACCGAAAAATATTGCAAACGAAACTTCAGGCTGGTTATTTTTTTATAAATATAAAATACCAACACCTTTAAGCAAGAATAGCTAAAAATCAGCTTTGAATTATCAAGTGCTGGAAATAGATCCCCCCACCCCCTACCTCTTGCTTGTTGTTTGCCGGGGAAGGGGAGGGGGGGTTAATAGACGGAAACTGAGGCTCAATGTAGGGGATCCCCCCCTTGTTCTGCCTCAATTTTGCATCTCTTCTCTCCCTCTTTTCCTTCCCTTTTTCGTCCCTTTCTGTCCATTTGTCCTAATCGTTGTCATTTTTATCCTTTTCGCCACAATACTTTGTCTGACACACTTGTTTTTGACCAGTGACCATCCTGGAAATCCCCAAACCTTATTTTGTAAAAAAAAAAGAAAAAAGAAAAAAAAAACTTTCTTACCTGGGGTCTTCGCCCACAAGCCCCACCCGATCGCTATATTTCGAATATGCCGTTAATGATCTTAGGCGTTGACAAGGAAGAAACTTTTAATAAGGAGCAAAAAGGTATTTTCTCCTTTTAAAGCTTGTCCACACGAGCAGGCATGATCGGCGGACATTAGATTTAGAAAATGTAAAAGTGACGCCACATACTAGAAAACGAGGAAACTACTTGTTTACCGAGTAGTATGTCCGCCCGTGACGTTATATCTATTCGTGCCTATCGATCGTGCCCGCTTGTGTGGACAGGCCTTTAAACGAGGGCATCCCTAAATACAGTGAGTAGTGATCCTGAACAACGTTATGGTGTTGAAGCTTTTATAAGTTATGAAAGAATTAATTGACTCCAAAAGGTTACTAGCTTAAAGTATTATGGATTACATCATAACTCGGCGAGGAAGCTGTAAAGCCCCGAACAAGTAGTCGCTTAAAACTCGTCATTCGGGTAAAATGAACAGGCAAACCAGCCGGGTGGGTGTCTGTGTCCGTGGTGAGATAAGGCCTTCTGCATGGTGGTTTGATCCTGTGCTGCCGGGCGTGGATGCATGACCCTGCCAGGCGCCAGCATCACAAAGGCTTTCGGGAACCCAAGTGGAGTTCTTCATTCTCACTCTTAGTTTCGCTTAATCTTATCAGTGTTGAATCCCGTTCATTCACACATCCAGTCACGTGGGAAATGTTATAATGATTATAGCAAGGATAATGACAATGATAATAATGAGCGACAATGATGGCACTAACAGTAATGATAATGATAATACAATAATAGGGCTAATAAACATAGTTCTGAGAACACAATTCCCTCAAGAGATAAAAGGAAAAAAGGTAGCCCAAGTGGAGAACCATCACACATATACACAAATTTGGTCAATTTAAAACACTTAAAATGATACCCATTTAATAATAACTTACCGAAAGTTTCTGAAGAACCTCGGAATTTA